TCCTGCACCTGAGCTCATGGTTTTGCTGGTGTGCTGGGTTTTAAGCTAAGCCAGAACCCAGGTTCCCATCTAGTTGCCCGGATGAAGGCACAGCCTGGTGAGGGGGCAGCCAGGGTCAGGCTGGCCACCTAATCTTGGCATGTAGTTCCTGGGCCTCTGTACATCTGTAAAACATGGCAGTCACACCTACCATGCAGATAGGAGATACCTTGCGGATTAAATGAAATGTGTGTTAACCCAGTGTGCAGCAGGTGCCCTATAGATGCATGCAGGTCTTTCCCTTGGGGTGACTGCAGGTAGGAAGGAGGCCTTGCCTGCAGCTCTTCATGCACACCAAGCCCAAGAAGACGGGGCAGAGTGACTCTTAGACAGATTGAACACTTAAGAGATCTGTCCAGACCGAGCTGATCCCTTTTCCTCCAGTTGCTCCCATCAAGCATTTTCCTGAGTGGAGTGGGGGCTTGATATTTGAAGACCCTTGGTCAGCCTTTGCCTTGCCTTCACCACCCTCCATTCATCTTAGTTGTTCTTCCCTGGATCTGGAAGGGCATAGCAGGCACCCCCTTGTCATCTCAGTGGCAGATTCTACCTCCTCTGTTCTCCAGGTCACTTCATGATGATGGGCCCCTACCCCAGGCTGGCAGCTACTATCCATTGTTCCTCTGGCTTTCCTGTTCTGCCTGTGCATGTCTCTCCTACACTGCTGTTTGTCACCTTTATCTGCCCCAGCCAACAGCAAGCACCTCCCTCCCTGAGTCCCTGCGTCCCTCCTTAAACACTCTGTAGATAGACTTCAGTCCACCCTCCTACTGAGACCCCTGGTACCCTTACCTCCCAGCTCCTCTAGCTGCATTCAGTAACTCCTGCACCCACGCTTATATACACACACACTGCTTCATACCTCAGGGTGTACTTCCCTTCTTGTCACTAAACTCTTAGTGCCTCTCTAGGTTGTTTTATCTCTTCTAGGGTAAGAGCCAGGGAGACAACCATGGCTTAATCGTGAGTAACTGGGGAGTCAAGGAAGCATGAAGGAGTGTCAGTTTTAAACCATGCTGGAGATTCTCACTCCGGATGCTTTGCTGCAGCCCACATGCCACACTCTGCTCTTTCCTCAGAAACCCAAGGACTTTGACTTCGCCCAGCAGAAGCTGACTGACAAAAACCTGGGGTTCCAGATGCTGCAGAAGATGGGCTGGAAGGAGGGCCACGGCCTGGGTTCCTGTGGGAAGGGCATCAGGGAGCCTGTCGGCATGTACGCAGGAGCTCAGGGCGGGGCAGGGGGTGACGGGGAGGCTTGCCTGGGAGAATAGGCTTGCTTTGGGATTCAGTCCTGAGTCTGTTGACCTGCAGCCTAATTCTTGGTTCCCTTCACATCGAAATGGTTTAAAGTTGGCAGTTATCTTTTTAGCAAAGGGAATCTTCAGATGAGATGAGAAGCAGACATTACCATAGGCAGGTATTTACCGGCTCCTTGCTGTGCTTGTGCAGACTATTTAAATGGCTTCTTAGACTCTGGCATTTTGGCCACATTTTTTATTGTCATAAAAACTGAGTGGTGATTCTGAGTAGTTATACCAAGAATCACTTTCCCTTTTCTGGGAACCCATACGCAGGCCTGCCAGGGTGGAACCCGGCCCAGAATTGGTTAAACCCATTAACAGCCAGCAGATATTTTATTTACAGTTGAGCTTAGCACCTATGGCGGGGGGCTTCCAGGCTTCTGAGCACCTGCACAGGTGAGTGCCCCTGTTCCCAGTGCAAATGCATCTGCACTTGCCCTCTCCTTTGCCATCACTGTGGTACATTCTGCATACCTCTGTCCACTTTGACTGCTCAGCCATTCCTGGTGGCCAGGTCCAGGAGCGGGTATGGCTAACTCTCCATTTCGCTCTTTAGGGGAACGGCCTCAGAAGGGGAGGGATTGGGCGCCGACGGGCAGGAACACAAGGAAGACACGTTCGACGTGTTCCGTCAGAGGATGATGCAGATGTACAGACACAAACGGGCCAACAAATAGGTATGTGCTCAAGCTGACACATCGGGCATCCTGCCTAAGGCATTCTGATACGCAGTGACCGTTCCTCCAGAAAAGTCAGTATTCCCCACACCCCAAAAACCAGACATCAAAATACCACCAAGAAACATCAAAAAGTTCTGTGAGGGAAACAAAAAGAGTCTTTGGATGTGATGTGTCCCCACTCTCACCTTCCAGGTTTGGCTGAAGAAGCAAGTCCCTACACTCTCCAAGCACAGCTGCACGAGGCCTGCCTGCAGGGCCTCAGTGCAGAACTCCCAGGGAGCCACAGGAGTGGCCTTGCGTCTCATAAGTGTAAGGGCAACCTGGAAACTGGCCTCAGAGTACGGCCGCTTCGTTTCCTTTTCTGAGGGTCTTCAAGTCCTTTTTCTTCTAAGGGGCCTTGGGCCTATGAATATCCTCATCTTTCTCTCTTTTTAGTTTCTCTCCCCACCCAAAATTTCCAACTTGGTTTTGAACAAAATCATTCTCTCCTTGAATAGATGAAAACCATTGGTGATAAAGATAAGCCTTGAAGCAGCAATTACTCTAAAAAACGCCACCTCTGCCCTGGATGCACCCTGGAGCCAGTGCCTGAGTCGGTTTGGTGTGTACACAAAAAACAAATGTCTCTACAGTTTCTGGTGCGGAGGTTCTGCTGGCTTTTCTTATTCTTAAAGGAAAAAGAATGTACCATTTCCAACCTGCTTTGGCCTTTCCTCCTCTTCCAAATGCTTTGGGCAGCAAGTCCCCTCCAAGTCTTTCCTGGTTCCCTCTCAGAAGATGGTGCTGCCTTGGCAGCCCCAGTGCCTTTAGTGCTCAAGAAACAGTACTGGTCAGTTTTCCCGTTCATGGCACATTGCTCTGCAGAAGTGCTCTGTTAGCAAACTTGATGCTGAATTCATTACCTATTGTGTCTTCTCATTTCCAGAACTTAAAGGGGATGTCATCTGTGCTCTGGCACCACAGCCTGTCAGTGAGAGCACTGAAGCTCTTTGAACAAGTGGAAATACTTGATCCCCTGAACATGTTATTTATGGCAGCGGTCCCCGACCTTTTTGGGACCAGGGACTGGTGCTCCTATGAGAATCTAATGTCTGATGATCTGAGGTGGAGCTGAGGCGGTGATGCTAGCGCTGGGGAGCGGCTGCAAATACAGATGAAGCTTCACTTGCCCACCTCTCACCTCCTGCTATGTGGCCCAGTTCCTAACAGGCCACAGAACTGGTACTGGTCTGTGGCCTGGGAGTTAGGGACCCCTGATTTATGGAGTCTCATCTCTTAAATGCATCCCAAGAGACTTAACAAAATCTTAGCAACAGTACAACATAGCTGTATTCAGTGGGAGTAATCACTACATTGATGAAACTTCCCCCAAATTTACATGTCTCTTTAGAATCCAGAAAGAAAGCTACGGTTTGATTTTTTTAAACCATATATGGAGTCTTCTACGAAAGGGTAGGGGTAAACGCTTCAAGATTCTTCATTTTTTGCATGTATGGCAGTAGAAATTGTTTTGTTAGGGCCCTTTTACAGAACAGAAAGAATCTTCTTGGAGTGGGCTCCACAGCTGTTTGCTATTTCGAGGCGTATGATTGCCACCCCTTCCAGCTTTTCCTAGAGCTTTGCAACTATGTGCGAAATTCTCAGGCTGTGGGAATCTCAACTGTTCATCTTAAAGCAGCAGTGTTGAAGTTTTAAATATGGGCTAAAACCTGCAGAACTTGGTCCTACTGATACTACAGTAGTGAGTTACTGTGTCAGCTGCTTTTATTGACTGTTAAGAAATCCTTGCTTTCTCAGAGCACAGACCTCCCAGCAATAGTCTCGGTTTCTCTGGTTCTGTCTTGTGTGTCTGTCCTGCCATTCACTGTGGCATCTCACCTGCCTGGTGCCACCTCTCTTCCCATTGCTTATAGCCCCCAAATCTCTGCCTGCTTCTGGTCACTTCTGTTGCTTTGGCAACTGGCACATCTTTATGGCCATGGCAACACTGGCAGCCCCTCAGCAGAGGCGAACCAGCCTGTCAGGGGTGCTGTGGGGAAACCACAGCTATGGAGGTTCATCTTCTGCTCCTTTCTTTTCTGATCCTTCCATCAGTCTTCCATGTTGGCCGTGGGTTGGGTTACAGGATGGAACTCTGAGAACAGGGCCTTGGTACCCCGTGGCCTTTCAGCATGCTCGTTGGCCTGATCGAGACCTGCACCCCTCAGCACTTTTTCTCTCTTGAGCATAGCTTTGACTGTCATATTCACTCTGACCATCATATTAGCTCTGTCCTAGTGTGTTCATTCTTAGCTTTCTCTGCTTTTATTCACAAGTAACATGCTTTAGAAATTCTCAGGGTGTGAGCCCTGTTCCTGCAGCCTCCTGCCACTCCTCCTGGGGACATCCCACTTTGAGCTGACACTGTGAGCCTTTGGCAAACGTTAAAAGAAACACCTACTTCTTGAGCCTGAAAAGTCCTCTGAGCATTCGGGTGACACTTCTCCTGTGGAGTCAACATTGAGACATTACGGGCACCAGGGCGGAACATGGTGGTGTATCCTCTGCCAGCTGCCAGCCGGGGACCAGTGCGTGCTGGCCCTCTGTGCCACCTTGCTGTCTCGGCAAAGGCTGCTCTGCAGGGAGCGTGCAAGTGCGTGTGCGGGTGTGTGGCCTTGTCAAAGTCACAGCGTCTTTTCTGTCATTCTAGTTCCAGGGTCTCTCCCGTGAGGACGACAGGCATCCGGAAAGTGCTAACTCGCTACTTTGGGTGCTTACTGTCTCTGGCTTGTTTCCATCACTGGAAATCAGATAGAGAAGTTTAGTGTTTTTGGTCCTTGGTAAAACCTAGAAGATGTTTGTGATGTTACGAAATGGAAGTTTTTGGGTTTTTTCTTTTTTTTTTTTATCTAAGAAGTTGTGAATGTTGTTAATCATTTAGCAATTGCAATAAATGTAGAGGAACCCATCTTCCATGGTCTCCATTGATGTGTTTTTAAAATCAGACCAGGTGGGGACACTTGGTGGACGTGGAACCAGGTTCTAAATACCCTGCCTTGGGGCATGTCCACTTTCTAGGGACAGGAGCCTAGTTAATCACTGGGAAGACCCAGATGGTGATCAGGGGGATGGGCAGGCCCTCTGTTGTCAGGAGGGGTTTAATGCTGGGAACAGAAACCCACCTTTGAGAGAGTGTCGGGGCGTGATAGCCCTGTACTAGCTTCTAGAGATAGACCAAGGCTCACCTAGGCCTCCCTGACCAAGGAGCTGGCCTGTGGATGTCTTCAAAGCTCCTTGCTATTCCCATGTGCTACTAGCCTGTGTCTCATTTCTCCACCAGCTGCCCCTGCCCTTCAGGTTTGGGGAGAGCGCAAAGAGCAGAGTAGGTGGGCAAGCCTGGCACTTATGGACCTGCAGGGACCTCCACCTGAGCACAGCATGACTGGCAGGAGCCAGCCTGCAGTTGTGCCCAGGGCAGCAAGGAGCCTGAGAAGGATGGAGTAGGGATCTTACATCATTTTAAAGGAGGACAGGCAAGATGGGGCCCCTTAAGAAGATGATGAAGAAACCCTGAGCCTCCTCTCTCCCACTGTGTCTTGGAGGACACTCAGCAATGATGGGGACTCATTTGACCATGATAGGAGCTACTGTCAGCCCAGAATCTCCCACACATTTGCCTTCTTCACCAGAGCCTGGGAGATGGGTTTGTGACGTAGGCATTAGTGCCACTCCCCGAGAAAGGTACCCAGAACCTATAACCACTCCAGCTCCTCTGGGGAGACTGGAAGTGAGGGATAGCGGCAGTCAGAATTGCTCTCCAGTATTCCCCCCAGCTCCCTTTTCACCATTGGGCTGTTGAAGGTCATTTAGAGGAGGACATGGCCCAGGATTTGACCTCAGACAGGTCATTCCACTTCAGGCTTGTTTCCTCTCTGCAGTCTGGGAAGGATTTGTTCCATTTTAGAAGGTAAAATTTCCTCTGCCACCTTATAATTTAGGGCTAAGTGGGACTTAAATATGCTACTCCCCTCCCTTCTCCTTGAAGCCTTCTGCATGCATCAGGGCCCTGTGAGAGGCAGAAGGCACTCCAGAAGCGCCAGCCTTTGGTTTTAAAGCATGCCTTTGTTTTGCATGCATATGTGCACATGGACGCACGTGTACAATATGCGTGTGTAATATGTGCAAACACGCACGGTCAAGGAACATGAGTACATTTTCTTTGTAGAAGATAAAAAACCAAAACCCCAGATATATGCAGAGCAAAGCACAGAGGTCTCTTTCCCACTCCCACATATCAATAAAATAAAATTTTTAAATAACAAAGACACACCATGTGTGCTGCCTGGAGACTCAGCAGTCTTTCTATGTAAGTAAATGTTCAAGTGCTATTTGTGAGTAAGTAACACCAGCCAGAATCCAACGGTGCACATGTGTCTTCTGTGGAAAAAAGAGTCCCTGACTCGTAGCACCCAGTTCTCAGGGCCCTATGTGTAGATGATCACAGGTGCAGGCACATGTCAGATATAACCTTAAAGATGCAAATTACACTTCGCTGCACGTGATACTCTGCCTGTGGCTTTTTAAAAACATTTTCCCCCCAAAGTTTATATTTTGTGATAGACTGTCCCTTATCTCACAAACCCCCACCCACAGCCATTTGTTGTCAAGTATTAACCCCTACACCCTGTAACACTCTGGATAAAGCCCTAGAAGTGGCATTTCTGGGACCAAGGGGCCCTCCTTCCACAGTGTTCCTATGTGATCTGACTTTGAGGATGCCTCTGTCAGCACTTCTGTTTCTCCAGGAAATGATGGGGCTGTGGAACCTGCGAAGGACTCAACCACAAACCATGGCCCCTGACGCCTCTCTACCCTGTCCCCAAGCTCTACTCAGACAAGGCCCAGCTGTCATTCCTCTCTTTTTCCCCTCATGTCATCCCCCACCGACCTTCTCATTCCTGCCCTGACCCCCCCAAACCTCAACCGACCTGGGCGAGTGAGTTCCCAGAGTGGGCTTGGGAGTGGTCCCTGCCCCTCTAGGCCTTGATTTCCTCTTTTAATGACTTCTGACGCCAACCCACAGAGGGGCTTTGTGTGGGCTGGAGAGGCCCCTGTGGCTGTGGGACTGTGGGACACTCAACCTTGGTTTCCTCTGGTGAAATGATGCAGCAGGCTGGCAGAGTTAAATGTGATAATCCAGGACTGCTCATAAAGTTCAGAGGGATTGGTCTTGTTATTGATCCTTCCATATCCCGCCCTCCTGGGCCTCAATTTCCCCAACTGTGAAGCAGACCTTGTGTGTGAGGATCCCCAAGCCCCATCACAGTGTACCCCACCCACGCCCTTCCACCAGCTTGAAGATGGAGCTGTACCCGCAAATTGCCCTTCTTCAACAGGAGGGGCCAAGGCCAAGCATCTGGCCAGAAAATTTATACATTGTAGAATAAGTTTGGGAAATTGGAGGACAATTAGTACTGGGGCTGAAGCCAAACTCTCACACAGCTACCGTTCTGCCAGCTGTTCTGCCCCATTGTACAGATGGGGAAACTGAAGCCCAGGAACGGGAGGATCCAATCCCAGGCTGCACAACGAGTTCTTCGAAGTCCTCTTCAAAAGTCACCATGCCAGCTCGAATCTCAGTGTCCCCATCTGGGCACAGGCTGGCACTGTTCTGCAGCAGCAACAACCCTTCCAGCTTGTTGTTGGGACTTAGAATTGGGCTCTGGAGTCAGGAATTGGTTTCTACTCCTGAATGTCACATGTCAAAGCTCCTAAGCTACCTGATTGGCCATCAATGGGGGTAACTCCATCCTGCCACTGGGCTCTTCTATCCCTGTGGACTTCCATTCTATTTTCAAGGCCCACCTCTCAGGTCCCCTCCTCTAGCAAGCCTGCCCTGCTCTCCCCAGAATGACTTGGTTTCCTCTGGTGAAATGATGCAGCAGGCTGGCAGAGTTAAATGTGATAATCCACTGAGGCCTGGGTACCTGTCTGGCTTCCTCAGCCCTGTCCCTGACCACTGGGCTGGGGGCATGTTTATCCGGCTACTCACTGGGGCTGGAGGCTCCTTCATGGGGCCTGCATCTTGTCTTTAAACCTCCAGCATTGAATAAATGTTTGATGAAAGGACATTGAACAAGTACACTTTGTACAAAGTCTGAAATCTCTCTTACTGCTGGAACCTGCTTTGGGGTAGACAGGCAGACCCAGGCTGAGGCCCAGCTCAGGGGCGTGGCAGCAAGTGACATGATGCATGCCCTGTGCCCTCTGGGACTCTGTCTCCAATGTTCATAACATCAAATGATAAAGTATGATGTACATTAATTGAAAAGGCATTTTTCTACAGTATATCGCCATTTTAATATGCCATATTGGACTATATAGACACACAAGCAAACTCAAATATATAAATGCATAGTCACAGACAAATTCTGGAACACTATAATCATCTATTAATGGGGCTCCTTTGGGAAATGGGCTGGGCTATGAGTGGAATTTTCAGTTTACCTCACTCATTTCCGTGTGGTTTGACATCTTTGCTTATGTGATTTTAGAATGACAAAAAATTGTCTGTGAAAACATGGGTGATAAATTCAGCCTTGGATTTGCTTTGAGAACCAAAGGAGATGACAACTTCAGAGCCCATAGCACAAACTATAAACTGACATCTTCTGACTATTGATGGCCTCTCCTGACACTAATCCTCAAATCCAGAAGAATCCAGCCCCTTTCCCAGTAAGGAAACTAAGACCCCAAATAGTCTGACTCCAGATCCCCACTCTAAACACAAGGATCCACCATTGGTCTCAACTGGTTTTGAAGCTCTCCATATACACACACAGGTATGCATCAGCTTGCAACTATGCAATGCATGTGTGTGTACACATGCACACACACCCATGCTTGTACACACACAGCCATGCACGCACACAGAGGCACATATACAAAGATGTGCACAGGCAGGCACAAAGACACATTATAGATATAGACACATGGACACACAGACATGTATACATATGCATGTATGCACACTCATGCAGACACAAAGAGATACATGTGTGCACATGTAGGCTCAAAGACATGCACACAGACTACATGCAGGCTCAAAGACACACAAACAGACACAGGCACACATGAACACAGACGTGTGCACATGCAGGCTCAAAGACACATGCATATATGCAGGCACAGACACAGTCACAGATGTATACCCGCTGTTCCTATTTCCCACAAAGCCCAGGCTTGTGGCCCTTGGAACTTTGACTCTCAAGAATTGGAGCTCCACAAAGAATATCACCAGCCGCTTCCCTCAGACTCCAGGAGGGGGACCTCACGAGCTGAGCTTTCCATCGCTTGATTTTTCTCTTGAGATTTCTCAGATTAGCCTCATGGGAGCGCAACCTCCCAATTCCTGGAGTCCCTGGTCCAGTGTAAGAAGTGAGGTTCTGCTCTGAGACTTCAGCGTTTACATCTTGATTACTTGGTTTTGCCGGAGGCAGTTCAGAGCAAAGTGGAACTTGAGAGTTTGAATCCTGTCTTAACGTGTCCTCACTGTGCTGTGTGACCTGGGGCAAATGTTCCACCTCTGTGAGCCTCAGTTTTTCATTTGTGAAATAGGAAAAGATATCTACGGCCAGGGTTCTTAGAATCACTGCTGCCACATCACAAAGCTCACAGATGTCAGCTGTCGCATTTCCAATGTTC